CAGAGCGGGGCCACGGTTAGGATGGTAGTGTTGGAATGGTGATGGACACAGCCCGTGAAGGTGACATTCAACAGGACAGCTGTTCCAATCATTTGGATCCTAAGCCTGAGCAGATCACAGCTTGGGGCAGTCACTGGGTATTCGTTCCACTATTGCAAACACGCACGTTCCATTCCAGGGTTTGCATTATGTCTAGGCAGGTCTTTCCTACGCAAAGTCCTGTCCGGGATGCGAACCAGGACGCTGGAGTGGAGGAGACATAAGCCTCTCCAGAACTGGCCTGGCCAGACCCATAAGGGACCTTTGGGCTGGGTTACACACCCTGTAAAGGGTTCTGACATTGATGAGGGCCATTGGAGATGTGCGCGGGTGGGGAGGAGCGCCCAGGAAGAGAAACGAGTCAACACTGACAGAGCAGTGGTGCCTGTTGCAGCAAGCACAGATAAGTCAACTCAAATAAGAAGTAGAAATTCAAAAGGTAAATTAATAATAGGAACAATAAAGGTGGACTAAATTAAACAGGAGGACAGGGTGGGTTATTATTTATTAATTTCAATTTCAAAACAGAAACAAACAGCAAACAAAAAAAATGCAAAACGAATTCTCACATGCAGAAACCAGGTAAATTAATTGAAACGAAAAAGGAAGGACAGGCGGACGAGGATGACACCAATGGGTTAGACAGAATGCAGGGTGGCTGATGGAATGGCAGAGGTCTGCATTCCAGTACAGTGATGTGCAGAATCCACACCTCTGCAGACAGGGTGGCAAGAGACAGGATGGATGGGCAGGTTTAATTTTGTTCTGTGGCATCAGTACATGGTCATACAATAACAGGGTTTTTTTCTTGACTGCGGTTTATCTTGGAATAGGTTTGATCATTTTTAACCAGTTCTAGGCTGGACCAGGCTGCAATTGAGGTGTTATCTCTGGCTGTTTCATCATTTGCTTTTTTTTTCAGAATCGATAGGTTGTTGTTTTTTTTTCACGTCAATGCTCAGACAAGACAGGCAATCAGTAACCATCACCAGAAAGCAGAAGGAAGGGAACAGGAAGCCTGAAGAAAGAACTATGAAGAATGGGGAAACTGACACAGCAGTCAATGTGACTCGATCACAGAAACAAAGAATGGACTTCTTGTCCGATGAAGAACTCAGGATTGTTTATTCCTCCGTGAAGGCGTCTGCTGCTCCCTGAAGCTGAAAAAGAAAACATTATAACAAAAAAACAGTCATTTTAAAACAATCCATGAAGCGTTTCCCACAGAGTTATTCCCTGCAAGCTGAATTCTAATTTCCCCTCCATGGACGTCTTTGTGACGTCGGCCATCACTCAGGAAATCCACCTGTAGGAGGAAGAGGATCATTTCTCCCTGTTCTCCAGGGCTCGATCGAGCCCGGAACAGGACAAGATGACCAACAAGGACTCATCGCAATGCTTTTAGTGCTAAACGTTTCAGCATTACCAATGCACGGAGCTACACCACAGCAAAGTCAAGAAAAGGTGTTGGAACTGCAACTGCACAGAGATTTCTTTGTCAACAGAAATCAAACACATTCAACACAGTCACCTACATGTTTGTGGAGAAAACAATTGAAATCAACTTTCACAAACACATTTTAGCCTTCAATATGAAACCAAAGTTTTCTAGAACTATCTTTTACTTGTCACCAGTAACAGAATATATCATTTATATGTGCAGAATGTCTGATCGTTTCCAATGGGCAGACTAAGAGAAACATAATTCACAAGAAATTTTGAACCGACTTGTCAGGTGTTTTCAAAATAATGGTAAGAAAACTGCAGACTAAACAATCCTCCGACAAAAGCAATACTAATATGAGCACACCTCCATGTCTTCTCAATACCAAAAAATTGAGATTTCCTTTTGGAAAGCAAATTATTCCCAGGGGTATGCAGCACATCTGGCAACAAGTGGTGATTGATGGCAGTTACCAGAAAAATCAGTCATGGAAATTAGAAAGCAGCCTGCAACATAGCTCCCATTTACTTCAGATGCATTGCCACAGTCAAAGAGATGGTGATTATTCTAAAAATTGTAATGGTAATTATTTATGTCCTAAGAAAAAAATACACTTTTTCCACTTTCAGTACATAAATTCCATTTTCAGTAGTATGAACTCAATATTTAGAGTCCATCCACGTAAGAGCCATGCACTGTTCTTTAAAAATGACCATTTAGATATGGTCTCTGTTAACAGAGAAAAGTGAGTTCCAACCATATTTATTTCTTCACTTTGGTACAGTTCTATCTCTTGTTCGGACAACATCCTCAGAAAATAGATGCTGTTGGTTTTGTTCCTGCAATGTAAACCAAACCCAGATTTTTTTAGCTCAGAAAACGCCTGGGTTGTGGGAAACGATCGGTGTTATTACCCATGCGCCTTGATTACCTGACTGAACCATATCTAACCAACAGAGCCCTTGTGTTCCTCCTACCTGCTGTCGCTGCTCCTCAGCTCACAGCCCAATTAATACAGAGCACTGTACCCCTCATGCTGGATCTGGGGCTCTGAAGCCAGATATTATAACACCCTCTCTATAACCACTGCAGTTTCCTTCAAGTAAAATGGGAGCAGTTCACCCAAACATTAGAAGTACAAAGCAAAACAAGATCGCAAAGGAACTGCCAACCCATATCAGCTTGATTTTGCAATTTCCTTGTTATAAACTTCATTCAGGTGCTGGAATGTAATGAGAAGGCAGTAAATCACCATCACGCGTTCGTGAAAGATACCCTGACATATTTGGCACATGCAGGAGTTATTTCTGTACGCTGAAAAACAAAGTAGAAAGATTCTCACATCCAAATCAAACACGGTCCAGGAGTAAGAGCTAATAGAAACAATATTAAGAAAAAAAAACATGACTCACCTGGAACTGTTAATTTGTCTTCTGAAATTCAAAACCATAGCTGTTTTGGAGCTACTGCTCTGGATACAGCCATACTGACATCCAGACACAAAGTTTTCCCCATTTCAAACAGGAGTCATATTCCACTGCGTGATGCTGCTAACTGCTCTCTCAGACAGGGGCTTGTTTTTACTGCTGATCTGCTTTGTGTGTGGAATGGCAACCCAAGTACATGTCTCGGCATAACAAAGCTGTGTATAGAGACTGTTTTTATATTAAACCCTGATTTATTTATCTTTTAAAGATTAGGCATCAATATTTCATATTAATTCCTCACCACTGGCTTTTTTAGGATTATCTCCAACGAAGCTGGAATTATTGTTGAAAAGCATATGATTCCTTGCTCATTATTCTGACGCCAGTACGTGAAAAATGTGTCAAACAAAACAGAAGGTCAGTTTTCTTTCAAAGAGAACTTACTGATAGAAGTACTAAACACAGTACTTCTATTCATTACCGTATTCATTTGAATAAGTTAATACTTTGTAAATTACTCTCAAAAAATTTCCTAAGTAAAATATACAAATTTCACATTTTGCACTCAGATATTTACAGAACCTGGCTAGGAAGGAGTAACTATTTTTCCTTATGTTTTTAGAATACTTTTTCAAATAAAGCTGTTCGCAATGCATAGTAAAATATAGTTCAATGCCTAAAAAATTGAATGATCTGATTCAATTGTTCAAAAGTCACAAGGGCATTGGAAGAGTCAGACCAGCAGACATGTTCTGAATAAACAGTGAAACACAAACTGCGGGACAAATGGAAACTGTGAAGAAGGGCATTTAAAACAGAGACCAGGACGCACTTCTTTACACAAAGGGCTGCGGGGGTCTGGAACAGGCTTCCCAGCCATGTGGTTGAAGCTGATACCCTGGTTTCTTTCGAGAATCTGTTGGCCAGGAACCTTAGATCAATGAGCTACTGTTGTATGGTCTCCTCTCCTTTGAAATGTGTTTTAAATGCCTGGTCCAGGAAAGGACTGTTGGGGGAAGAAGGACCTAGAATGGGGTGGACCCCAATGAGGGTGTGGGGGAAACACATGGCAGACATCACCACCGGACAGGAAGCAGAATGCCAGGCTGGAACAGGCTCGGCTGAAACGTGGATAGGCGGCACTGTCCGCTGATTTCTAGCCATCTGCATTGGCAGACTGCTGCTTCCTCAAAAAGGCAAACATTTGCCCAGTGGACAGACAGATCTGGAGCCTTCTTCCTAATGCTACACAACGCTCCCTTGGTGAACAGAACCCAGTGACAGCCCAGGCGATCTGTGTGTTGAGGAAAGATGGGCTGGGGGTGGTGTCCCTTTAATGGCGCTCGTTCGGGCGTCCCTTTCACTCTGCAAGCGAGCTGGAAGGCTGAGCGTCAGGACTCTCAGTGGCGTTGATTTGGACACACTGCAGATCACAAGAGCCCCTCGCTGACCTCTTGAGCCTGTTGGCCACCGAGCCTTTTCTTTCACACGTTCGAGAAGGAAGAGCTCCAGTCCGGACTGTGTTGTGAGAAGGAAGGAGCTTAACTTCTTCCTAATTGCGCTGTAGCAATTGCGTTATGGTAAGGCAATTTCATTGTTTAGTATTTTTTTTTATTTAAAAAAAAGCATAGTTTCTGGAAAACAGGCAGATTCGGCGCAGTATATCTTTAAGGTCACTTGGGAATTAAAGAGGTTTGTTGCAATACTTGTTTCATTGCAACTGTTTAAAATAACAGGAGGCCCGGGCAGGGGAGCCAGCTGCCTGTCGAGATGCTGTGGAGCAGAAAGCCATTCACACGTCCTCCTGTTCTCTTCTGTCATTGTTTTATTTAGTTACTTTTATGAGCTAGAAAGCACCTCCCGAATCTAGAAACAAACGTCAGCTGCGGCCCTCGTTAATTACAAAACCCGAAAGTCTGCATTTTCTATTTCTTCAAGCTAATTTGTCTCCTGAAGTAATTAGCTAGCCTAACAAATACTGGTTATAACTGAAGAAACAGCGCTGGTATGTCTGGGCTGTTATGTCTGCTGGCACTGGGCGCGGACACGTTAAAGAGAGAGAGGGGCAGGCAGGAAATGTGGGGACTTACCGATGCAGGTTTTGCTGTCGGAGTGCAAGGCGTACTTCTGATGGCACCCACACACAGGCCCACTGTCCGTGTCATCGCAGGTGTGCTGGCAGCCCCCGTTCCCATAGTTACAGGTTACTAGTTTTAAACAAACATCGGACACATAAGGAAAGTAAATACCGTTATAGCTGTTGCACATTTGTTAAACCAAATCCACAGCGTGTTAGTCATAGCGTATAAAAAGAGAGAGACCACAACCATAACTCGTTTTATCTGTAAGTCAACTGCTGCAGGCAAGCTGACTCAGGGATCATCCATCTGCCTGTGGCTGGTGTCTAACAAGAGAAGGATGACATCTCAAGACCTTTGACATGCCTCAAGCTTTCTGCCACAACCTCTCACCAATGTGTACAAGAATCCTCTCCGGTCTCTCTCGCAATTAGGGCTTCTTCATATTTAGTTTTTCTGTGTGCCTAAAAAATCTATAATTACTGTTGTTAAGCCACATCATTTTCCCAATTATATTATTGGCTTTACAAGATGACCAGACAGGCTGAAGTGCTTTCTAGACACAATCCTGAAAGCAAACAGACACCTCTGCCCACTCTTACTGATACTGTAGGTGGCAATCACCACACGCCACTGGTTTCATCAGAAAGGTAGTCTGTCTTGAGACACACATTTCTAACCTGGCAAATAGCATAAAAAATGTGGTAAGTGGTAACAAGACTATTAATTATGCATATGCGTTAAAAGCTCAGTCAGATACTACTAACCGAAATACAAAATATTGGTAAACTACTTCAGCATTGCCGGACGTAAGCACTTCAGCATGACATTATGAAAGTGTTTGTTGCCAGAGGTGAATAGAAACGGATCATTAATATGTAATGGGATGTTATTTACAGCTTGCCTGGGAAACAAAGCACGTTTATTGCTCTGTCTGACATTGCATAGCAAAATAAAGTTTACTGCGCTCACTGAAGAAGTATCCTCCTATTGGTCTGTTGAACTGCAGCACAGACCAGTGCTGCCCATTGCCAACACGACTAGACATCAGCATGGAGTTAACGTTTTTCATTTTAGAAAAATACTTCACTAGGTTAATGTGAATGAGGAGATCAATAAATAAGGACAACATCCCTAGAATGTGTAATTCTGGAGAAACCTTGGTGCAAATCTGGCAGAAAGGCTCGTATTCTGTCCCTTCCAGCTCGATCGGAGAGTGACTCGCGGCCAGAGCTTCTTCCGCATGGACGTTTTCACTTTCTCAAAGAGAAGTCAGGCTGGCTCTCCCATGCTTCTCGGACGGAATGACCTCCCGTCCCAGTGTAAACAGGGGGTGCGATTAGGAAATTAGAGATTTCAGTTGACTTTGACCTGGACACTTATAAATACGGTGCTACGGAAATTCTGATGGCAACAGCAGAGCAGAATTACCCCCTGTCGAGCGCACGGAGGAGGACAGGGCGCTTGCTACTGTACATTGCGCCCGGGGTGGTTGCAGGGCTACGTACGTGTGCAGTCCCTCTGATTCTTGGCAAGCTCGAAGCCAGGGCGGCATTCACAGGCCACTCCTCCCTTGGGCGTCTCCCTGCAGATGTGGGCGCAGCCGTGGTCTTTGTTCATACAGTTCATCCCGTCTGCAGAGCGACAAAGGGGGAAAGCAGAGTGTGAAAACAAAACCCCAGTTGCGAACTGGACACAAACACAATCGTGCCATTGTTGGCACAACGTGAACTGGAGGGAGTCCAGGCAGAGAGCACATTTTGGGATTAAGGCTGAGGTTTTAAAACATCATAATTTACAGCATAAAAGCAGGCACTGGGTCCCATTATAAATACACTTCAGTCATGTCCTCATGGAGTAATGTGGGATTTTTATGACCACGTAAATTAGTTTAACATTCCTCTTGCAGTTCCCTTGCACAAGGGACAAGACATCGAAGTTTGGGTTGGCTCACAGAAGACAAAGAAATTTGCTCCAACTATGTGTAAAATTCAGCCACTAAAATAGCCAGCGTACAGCACAGATGGTCTCAATTCTTCAAGCTTTTTCTCGATGTCATTTTGATGCAAAAACACAAGGAGGCATTAAAAAAAGCAAAAAAAAAGAAGGATTCTGTAGCCACTGTGATCATTTTTTCAGTAATTTAACAAGATTATTGAAGCTTCTGGGTGTATTGCACATATCTTCACTCAAGCATAGTATCCGTACAATGCTAAAAGAAACTAAGTGTCATAAACTTTTCAACACTTGTCTTCTTGTGTTACAGGAGTCAATATCTGTTAAAATAATAAAAGATCTAGCGTTCAGTCTTTGCATGAGTAAGCATTACAGGGCCTGACAGGACTGCATTCTGAGTGGAGAATCAGAAAATTGGGATAGCCAGGTTTGCATGTTAAACTGGACTGGGATCTATGTGCAACTCATCGTGACTCACGTTCTACAGAAAAGGATCTATACCACATTCATTGGGGGGTTCACGTTGCACAGCGCTTTCATCGTCACATCACTCACGGTGCCTTCTGTGTAGTGAGAACTGCTGTACAATTACAGCATCAGGTAGAGCATTTATTCAGAACCTTCCAACAGGCAAACACAAAGTAAGGGGAGGAGGCTCAGTAATGTTTGTTGTAGAATTTTCAAAACTACTGAGCACCCTGAGCCCAGCCTCTCTCATTCACAGCACAGAAGAAATGAACATCAAGGGCAATTCTCAATGAACAATGACATCATCTGAGGAGACACCACATGCCCGAGTGCAACAGGCCTCTCTGGAGCGGGAACTATGACCTCTGTGGGAAGGAGGAACAGTAAAGTCGTTCTTTGTCAGACCATCAGAGCTGAACTTCATCATCACAAGACAGCAGCCAGGACATCTCTACTGATCAGGACCAGCAGGTAATGCAGAACAGACCAAAGACCGGAGTCGGATTCAGCTCTCATTCAGCAATAACAGGGATCAGCGTAAGAGCACTGTATCGATTATAGAGCAATTTAAAATATAATCAGGAAAAAATATATTTTTAAAAGGAATAACCTTTCAGATTCTTTTTCAGATTCTGTTTGCCCTGTTGCATTCTTGTAAACCTGGTGTGTTGGGCCATACTAATATAAATGAATGTGTTAGTTAATGTCCTCTGTCCCGCCCACCCTTCCCAAGCCTTCAGCACTTTGACGCAGCGCTGCAGTGACGTGCAGGAAGCCCAGTTGTGTCCCTCACTGACCTCAAGGCGAGCGCCGGTGTTGGGGAGTCTGAGCGCTTGCTGTGTTGTGGGAGCCGTGGCCAAAATCAAAACCCAGCCCCTGCGAGACTGAGCCCGCTGGACAACCCCAGTCACAGTCGGCTAGTGGCAGGACTGGTCACGGTCATGTCAGCACAACAGGGGCCATCTGTGCTCAGAGCAAGTGCCTTTACAATTCAATTCAAATCTAACCAATTCAAGCTATATCATCCACTGGGGGAGAATCTGTTTCACAGTCCAGTCCGGGTACAACAATATAACAAAGACAAGCAAACATCACCAACAAAGAAGGCAGAGCAATAGTGTTACTGTATGTCAGTTTACTCCCACTGCCTCCACAGTTCATTCCCACCTCGTTTCTCCTTCGAATCCATGTCTCTTCCACCAGGTTTTCCACTTCAGTTGTGCTGATCTGAAAGGTTTCTGCCAAGTCGTACTGCAGTTAACAGATATTCTGTCACGATCGCTAATCCTCCTCTTAAGGGCGCTCCAGCCCTTCCGTGTTCTACCTCATTCCCCACACCTGTCCCTTATTCCAGCCCCTCCTCCAGTTCCACCTTAAAAGCCAGACAGAGACGTTACTCCTGGTTCCTCATTGAATCCCACATCGTGAGAGCCCGGGGTCCTGCTGCGTCTGGCTCCGTTATGATTTTAACCCTCTGTTCCTGATTCCCTCCGCCGGTCCCGACCCGGTTCCTGTTCCTTATCCCCCCGGATGGATCACCTGGCCATGGACTTTTGCCTCTATTCTTAATTACCTGTTTGGATTTTCTATATGGATTGTTTGCCCCGGACTCACTTCCCCTGGACACCTGCACTCCTTGGACACGCCCCCTGTCTCCATACCCTCTCCTGCATAACTTTTTCCAGAGTGTTTCCTCACAAATCCGGATCGTGTCGTCTGCATAGGGCCCGGAAAGAACTGTTGACATATTCAATCTTTAGCGCTCTCTGCACCCTTACCTGCACCAGTTTGCCAAAGCTCAAACTATATAAACTGGTGTCAGCACACCTAGAGCCACAGTATTTGTACAAGGGTCCTTCATCAGTCTACAGGCTACCAGCAGGGGGTGAATGACGAGTGCCTTTTGGTTCTGCTCATTTACAGCTCGGGTTACAGTGACGTCAAGCCCAGCCGAGTTTCTTCGACCACCGTCTTCCCACGACCCCTCTCTGCACTGCCGTCTTTCTTGCTTGCTGGCAGTGTGTGACGAACACAAGTTTACCGAACAAGCTGACAAGTGCTCCACTCAGCAGCACTTCAGCCAGTGTTCCAGCTGAGAGTGCACTACCACTCACCTGACCAGCAGAATGAATGACAAGCTCACCTCGCCGCAGGACCCACTGTCGAGTAAGCACATGTCAGGAAGCAGACACACGTCAGGGGGTCGAGGGTCAGCTCCAGCACGGAATAAAGACTGTTTACAACTCTATCCTAATCCGTCATTATAACTAAGCCAGTGCCCTTCAATAAATAAACCACTACGGAGTTCCTCAGTCCATGTTTTGCTTTCTTAATTGTGCAAAGCTATGTCATGCAATATGACATTTTACTAGGGTTCAGCAGAGGTCAGAGCAACTTAAAAAACGCATTTACGAACACTAATGCAGTCAGTATGTACAGTCCGTGTCAACCTCAGTTAACTTAAGTGTTAATCTTTAGTATTGCTCTGTCACAAACTCCAGTCCACCAGCACTAGATGTACGTTTTTAACTTGTATTGATTCATTCTTTTCATGAAGTTGTTCCTCTTCACATGGGTTTGAGTCTAGGGATTGGCAATGCTGGAGACATGCATTAGCATTTCAGTATTTATATTAAGACAAAAATGGGGGAAAAAGACCAGATTCAAGGGGGTGAAATTCAATCATGCAAATAGTCCTTTCCCAGCTGTGCGGGACACACACTGGAGCCAAGCATATCACCAGGCTCTCAGAAGCTGGAAAGTTAAACAGACCTTAAAATGTTATTCCTGGTCAGTGAAGGCTGTAAGGTAGTTTTTAATGCCCATCAAGTATATTAACATTCAGAAAGGTACATGACAGCTTGACATGTCACAGGATTGATTTCACAAGTTGCCTCAAGACATCGCCTGGAATTTTCAACCATCTGTCAAAGGGCATGAAGAATGGTCAGTCGAATAGACAAGGCAGGCCCAGACTGGTCTTGGTGTGCCTGTTAAACGTATCACTTTGACAATCTGTTGGTGAGAAAGACTTATTTAAGTGAGCCTTCGTGCTTTATAAATCTCCGTCTGCGTACAGATGTTGCGCTGTCCTGCCGCAGCTCCCCTTGATGATCCGAGCTCCGCCTGCTCGGAGCGCAGCTCCGCACCGACGGCGCTGCCAGAGCAGCTACGGCTCCGGGCTTCTGCACACGCCTGGAGAAGACCGCTGAGGCCCGCTCGCTGCCACTCCAAACAAGCCCACCTTGAGCACACGGCCCAGGCTGCGCCGCGCTCGCTTCTCGCCTCTGTGGTGAAGATCCCCAGCCGAGACGGCTTCTGGCCATGATGGCAGGCAGAAATGAATGTCGGATCAAATTCTAATAACGAGCAGACTTGTCAAACTAACTGTTGCAGGAAGCAAACACAAATGAAGTCATTGCTCTACTTTTTTTCCAACAGAAAATGACAGGTAAAGATATTCACCATGTTCCTATAGGAAGACAGGGGTAATTTGCCATTCCTCATGTGCTTGCAATGAACTGGAATGTCTGGATGAAATGATACTATTAACGACCAAAGCTGACCTGCGATCAACTAGTGAAAACTGAATTTCAAAATTATTATTATTATTATTATTATTAAGCCAGCCCCCTCTGTCTGGGATTCCTCTACAGAACCGGCACACATTCCTCATTTCACTGGATGATTCAGCATTACAGCAGTGATTCATTTGAACAGGGAGTAACAAAACTTGCGTATTGCTTGTTATGCTGCAGAGTACGAAACTTAAAACACCTTTTCGAAAACAACAGTGCGTAGAGCATCTCCTGTCGGTTATCTGTCAGGTGCTGCTCAGGGCAGGAAAACATTGTATTGCTGCCTCAGGTCAGTCTGAACTTGTGTGCTGACGTCTCCGGTGCCCTCAGACGACACTTCGTTTTCTCAACGCAAACTAAAGGGCAGAGCCTTTAAAACCGAGATCTGGAGACACTTCTTCACACAAGGCGCCGTGGGAGTAACTAAACATCAGACATTAAAATGAAAAAAAAAACTAGCTAAATCGGCACCAAGGGTGGATTTAATTTCTGAACCCGATGGGTTAATGCACAGATCTACGCGGCTCCAGCGATAGACCACTTTCAGCCTGTAGCCATCAGAAATGGTGGTGTGCTATTCACGTGAAGCCCACTTCGCCCAAAAGCAGCAGTTTCTAAATCACCCCAGCCAT